TCCTGCACCAGTCGACAAAGTTTTTGTGGCTGTGCTTCTATTATATTCTGTGAGTGATGGAAAAGAAGAACAAGCAGAGAATCTGTCCATGTTTTGGATATCTGTAAGAGGATTTTTACCACTGTAACTGAAACATGCAAACAGCAAATTCAGAGTTTAAGCCCCTGACTAAATATTCTGACATCCTGTTCAGTTCACATCTCTAACATTTCAACTCAGAGCTGCTGTATTAATTTAGTTTTGCCTAAAGAAAATCTCCAGCAGGCAATTTAGTTCTGATGCACAAACATCAAGAGTAAGAACTGTTCACCTACATTCAGATGTTGCTGGTGTACATGTTTACAGCTAAACTAGTGACCCTCAAGTCCTTTTATAACAAGTAGAGAGAAACAGGCAGGTTTAGGTCATGATTAGGTCAGGAGAATCATATTCAAGGATTACCCATTTCTTTTCATTATTAAGGAGGACCAAGGACATTCAATGAAGTTATCTACCCTGTAGATTATAGACAAGTTAGTCAGATGTTTGGTCTGATCTCTGCTACCAGAATATGAACACATTACTTCTGTTTCTAAGATTTTTGATGTTAAAATTATTTCTTATTTCTCATTTGAATTTATTTAGCAATGGCTGGTGTAGTTGACAAGTCTTGCCATCTTCAAGATTGAAGAGACTATTTTTAATAGAATTCAGTAGAATTCAGTACTAAGCCATACTTGACATGAAAATCAAAGAATGAAAATGGAAAATTAGAGGTAGGAGTGGAAACAGGTTGATTCTATTTTACCAGTAGTGGAAAACTCTATTCTTCCCCTTACTCTTGTATAAGATGGAAAATTTTTATTTCTTCCACTATAATTGAGATCTGCAAAGCTGTTGCTACTTATATTTGCTTGTTCTATGTACTTACAGAGTCTTTCATATATATTTATTTTATTATTGTATTGTATTACTTCCTGATCACTGACGTACTTTTTTATCTAAAGATGAAGCTTGTATACAGGTAGGGTCAAGTTTTATCAAGCTTACATATCTAAAAATACAATTTGGAGACTAAAATTCATTAAGCCATTTTGCTAATTAAGCAGGGACATGCACTGTGTTTAAAAGAACTGTGTGACTTTGAGAAGTTGTACTGTATCAGCTTTCTCACTATCCTCTATTCTCATAGTGCCACATTTGTCTCTGTTGTAGTAACAGGTAATATCTCAAAAAGTTACATTCTGCTCAAAGGCCTTAATTTAAGTGTGCATTTTAATTGCACACTCCATCAGTGAAAGATTTTTGAGGACATGCCACCAATGCATGTATAAGCATTTATTTATATATTACTTATATGTACTACTGCAATTCTAATATATTTTTTTCTGCAGCCCAGTGAATTGTCTTGAGAACCCCTTAGGGTGCACTCCACTTTGGAGAACACCACCCCAGTGGAGAACAGTCCCTTGTAGTCATGGACAGTGTTAGATAGCGGACCCAGGATAGGATAAAGTAACTATTCCTTCTGTTAACCTGTCCTGTGAAATAAATTAAATACAAAATTACTTATTGCCAGCAACCATCTTAAAATATCAAGATCTGTAAATATTGCTAGAAAGCAGTGCAAAAATACTGTGGTAGAGCCTTATATGGAGTTGTAGCTGGCATTGATAGTATTCCTGTTATTAGCTTACTGTAGTTCAGCATATGCCCTCTTTGGCTCTGATTCAGGGAATCTACCAGTGCACAGTCATGCTCAGTGCTGCATGGAACTTTAATTTCTGCTAATTAAGAGTTTAGTAGAATGAGGGAAGTGGACAAATTATTCCAGACTAACAGCTTTGCCCATAGTATTTTATCTGTGTATTTCATCACAAACCTAGATTTTAGGCTCTTAATACACAGAGTAAATCTGTTTTCTCCCACTTAGGCCCTTCATCCGCGGACAGGACTAATCCCTGTGCTCTCAGTGACTCTTTACTGATGTTGTAGAGTCACAACAGATTGCAGATGTTGTACAGCTTTAGGGTAGAAAATGACTGTTAAGGATCAGCAGGCTAATAGCTTGCACTCCGTAGGGAGGAAGATGTGCTCTGCATCTTGGCAATTCTGGATGGCTTTGTTGGCCAGGTATGCATTTGTCTCTGATTCAATCTGTATTTGCTGTATCTCTTTTGCTGATTTCTGAGAGGACTTCATGGCTCTGGTGATGAGGGCCTAGGCTGCTTTGGGCACAGCACTTCAGGTGTAGACGCCAAGTTGAAATAACATTTTTTTCTCAGTAGTTTTCACTGACCATTAGTGTGGAGACTTCTGGATGCAGGGTGCTGGACTCCCTTGAAAGATTTAAGTCTTTATGGGACATCTCTCCTTTGAAGGAAACTATCCCTCCCAAAGGACTGATGAGATTGTCTTTCCTTTCAAGATTGACCAGATATCCCTTCTCTTTCTTTCTCCTCTCCCCCTCCCCTTCACCTAGATGAAAGAAACTTCACAGAATATTATTTTTAATGTAGAAAATAAATTGTGGACAATTAATCTTGAAGTTGAGAAAGTTTTTTTGAAAACTGCTTTATAAAAAACTTTTTAAGAGCTTTAGATGCACAATGTACCGCTACATTATGAGTATTGAATTTCACTGAGGTTTCTGAAGGCACAGGACCTGAAGAATAAAAATTAAGGTTGTCTGCATAGAACCCCTCTGTGAAGGTGTAGTGGGTTGGCTTTTGGATTTTTTAGGCCTTCCTTAGCAATGGGGTTGGAAATCTAAAGAAGTATTCCATATCATCCCTTTTGGTAACACAACATATAAAAAGGCGCAGATAAGAGCGTTCGCTCTCTTCTCTCTCCGGTGGCTGAAGACAACAGGTCTCTCAGCAGACGGTCTTTGCTTGTATAGGCCAGGGACTGCTGCTCAGACCTGCCGTTATCTCCAGTCTCTTCGGGAGGTGTTGGGGAGTTGGTTGGTGCTTTGCACAGTTCTGCTGTCTCGTTCAGGGAAGTATTTAATTCATTTCTTTTGTATTTATTCACTAGCTCTATAGTAACGGTGTCTATATTTGGAGGATATTTGTTTTAGCGTTTTAGGTTTTTTTTATCCCTGTTTCCCCTTCCCTTTTCCCTTTTTCCCCCTTGGGAGCAACCTATCGTGTGTACAATATATTCAAATTGTATATATAATTGTAAATATATATTTTTGCTATAGCTTTGGCTGTTCAGGTTTTTTTTTTTTTCTTCCCTCTCTGGGGAGTAGGCTCTTTTCACTGGGTGTTGGCAATTTGGCAGAGAGCCAGCTCAAAACTTACACAGAAGGATAACAGAATCACCAATTTGTTGAGTTTGGAAGGGACCTCTTGAGACCATCTTGTCCAATCACCTGCTCAAGCAGAGCAGGATCGCCTAGAGCAGGTTTCTCACAACCATGCCCAGTCAGGTTCTGAAAATCTCCATGGACTGAGACTTGACAAACCTCTCCAGACAACCTATGCCAGCGCTGGACCACCCTCACAGTGAAAAAGAGTTTTCACATGTTCAGGTGTAAGTTCCTGGTTTTGATTTGTGTCCATTGCCTGTCAAGGGCACCGCTGAAAAATGTTTGGCTCTTCGCCTCCATCCCCTCCAATTAGGTATTTACAGACATTGTTAAGATCTACCCAAGCCTGCTCTTCTGCAGCCTTAGATGTCCTGGGTCTCTCAGCCTTTCCTTATTTGAAAGAGGCCCCAGTCCCTTAATCATATTTGTGGCCCTGCACTACAGTGGCTAGATCTCCTAATAATGTATCCCTTGAAAGTATGAATTTAATTAGACTAACAATGCTTTCATAATTGTGTAGGTCTACTTCTGATTTGTAATGTCTTTGACTTTTACCTCACATTCCAAGCAGTTTTTCAACCCATGGTTTTTTCACTTTCTCCAACAGTCCTAATTTTTCCAGACCTATGACTTTAAAGCATAACTGCTTCTTACTTTCCATCCTGACTTTCTTTTTCTGTCAGGGTGTGAGGTGTTTTTAATGACTGGCCTTCAGTACATGCTTGTTTATCTGGGCACTTCATTTTGTCCTTTCTTCTGAAGTCCAATAAAAATGGCAAAGAATAAACCATGATCGGATTCACAAACAAATGAAAAATTAATAAAGTGAAAAATTTTGAAAAAAAAATCCATGTATTAGTCATGCTTATGTGTAATCACCAGTCACAAATCCATTGTATACCTTTAGTGCATTAAAATAAAAATTTCTTTGAAAAAATATTGCCTGAACTCAGACTGTTTTTCTCGTTGCTTATTCCTTATTCATACCCCTAGTGATGAATTTGGGTAGTCTTTAAGGTGTGTTGCTCAAATAGAATGCTTAAGGCATCAGGAAGACATTCTGCCCATCCTCAATTAGTTTTAGACTATTTTTCCTTACTTTAATGATATTATTATCATGGCTACAGGGTAAAAAAACCCTAAACCATAATGACTAAAGTAAGTAATGCAATAAATGTTGCAAATGTTAAGCCTTCAATTAAAAATTTACTTTTGCAAACATTCACTTCCAAGACAGGAGTAGTTTAGAGGGAAAATGTGCACGTTGCCCGATGGTATCCTCATCACAATTTCAAGGCCAGAACATATGAGTATCTTCAAAATGAAGAAAACTGAAAACTTTTTTATTATCTAGAACTATAAACCAAAAGTACTTCACAGGGAAATCATAGAACAGAAGTTCTGCATGGCCACATCGGTAAAGATAAAAATTTGTGACCATCTTTCGAAATTTATTGCATCTTCTAGTTGCAGTCCCTCCTATAGTGGTCTTTTCACTTTTGGTAATATGCAGATGCTAGAACATTTTCATTTTCTGCGTATTTGATTTGAATATTTTATGCTCGGCGAATAAGATAGTTGATTACACTATTCACAGGTATGCAGGAGAATGGATATTTTAAAATGTGCTTCACTAATTATATTGCATTTTATTACTTTATTCTGTAATAAATTAATAAAATTATCTTTTTGTTATTCATTTCAGACACAACGCTGTTTTTTCCATCCTTCACTGGAAATTCTTATTTAGAGCTACCTTCTCTGACATCTGTATCTGAGACCAGGACTGCATCTGGGCAGGAAACAAGCAATCTGACGACTCTGTACTTGACAGTGAAAACAACTTCTCTAAATGGCACAATCCTTTACAGTGAGTACTTGAAGCTAAGTATCAGTTTTAGCTCCTTCAGGTCCTTATTAACTTTAGTGTACATCAGCTGGCATTTCCTCTTCAAAAGCAAAATGATTCATTAAAATGCAGTAGAAGCCTTTTGGTATTCTAATGCATGATGCATTATAAAATTCTAACCATTGTTCCTTGTGTTCCTCTGGAAAGTTCTTTAATTTATGACTCATTGAGCAAAACATAACTTACAACTGAAAATGCTGCTTCCTGGCAAGAAAGAACATAGTAAGCATATGATTCCAGTTGTAAGTGTTACAGCTCTAAAATACTAATGTAGAAGAAGTTTTGAACAACTTATTACAGAGAAACAGCTTCTCCAGAGATGGGTTGAGTCTCACGTATTATAATTTTGATCCTGGTTCTGAATTCTTGATTTACAGAGCTATCTAAAGTTCTGCAATTTTGCCATATTTCACAGTATTTACTGTGATTTCACACTTCAGAGGATTCTTTTGTGGTCCCCAGAGAGTTAATTCCAGACCTGGACGTATGCCTGTTAATACTACATAAAAAAGTTGCTTCTTGCCTGCATATTTCATTCCTCAATATATGGCATAAACTTACTTAGACAAGTATGATTGTCACTAGTCAGCAAGAAAAAACAGCCTTCTCTGCTAGTTGAGTATATTATTGTATATTTTATCTTGCAATTTCTTTCTAAATAGAAAACATGGAAAGAGAGGTGATTTCTTCCTGAAGTCAAGAAGAAATAGAAAAATATGTTTACTTGATAAATTTACTCCAGATAGGCAAAATGATTAGGAGCATTCTCAGTTCGCTGCATCTTCCTAGGTTTTCTCTACATAAAGAAATCTTACTGATATAACAAAAATAATTTTGATAGTTTTTGTTGATTTTACATTAATATGGAAGTAATGTATGTGAATTCACCTGCAATTTATACATATTTGTAAGCCAGGGTTAAAAGTAATATAAGCTTCATGGCATTATTTAGTTATGACTTTTATTATTATTTGTATTACATTTAATTTAGATGTAAAACACTGTTCCCCCAGATTGAACATTTATGTTTACTGCTTTTCAAAATGGTATCTCAAGTCCTTGTGTATTATAGCTGGGTTGTTGCTGCAGCTGCCTAAGCTACAGTGCTGCAGACTTTGCTAAGAATCATGGATAAGTGGTTATGTGGCAGTTCTTTATGTTGAAGTGTTTTGTACTTGTTAGTTATTTCAATTTCAAGAGGAGTTATTCGCCCTTGAAGAAGAATTCAAGGAAGGTCACTGGAAGTACTTTGAATATATTTGGCATTTAGTGATTTTGTTTGTCTCATCAGTGTAAAGTAATTGGCTTTCAGCCAAACTTAAAGTAAACCTTGCTATCTACACGTAAGCCCTAAGTAAGCATCTCTGTGAAAAAAAACCCTCAATTTTCTTTTCTAGATCATGTACTCATCCTGCATGCAACCTAATAGTGATTCAGCTATTTCATCATACTCCCTGTGGAAAATTAGTAATATGGTATTTTTGAAGTGTTTGCAGAGATTTTATTGCAGCAGTATTTGAGAACTTCACATTGTTTAAAACATTTGTCTTTCTGGAGAGATAGAATGGTATCAGCGGAGAACCATGCAGTTTTTTACTTTCCAGTTACCTGCATCTGAGACCTCCATGGGCAGTGTCACTGCTCCCTTCTTGTCCTTTCCTGAACCCAGAGAGAAGGAAGAAAGGACGATAAGAATGAGTGGTATGAGTTCAGTTATCACCCTAACACTGAGCTGAGGTAGCTCCAGGACCTTGGGATAATTTTTACATGTTTTCAAGCAGTTGTTTCACTTACTTTTTCTTCATTGATTCCCAGTAGCACACCATACTTACATTCCCATTCACTTTGTTATCCCTAAAACAGGACTTGAACTAACTTGAAAAACTCCACTCTTTTGGTGACCAATAGGTTTTCTACTAAGCTTAGATTTCTGTTAAGCTAAAAAAAAAAAAAAAATAGTAAAATTGGATCTCTTGCTGGCTGTGGAACACAGGCACAAAAAGTAATGGATGACTGCATATCTTGTAGAACTCTAATACTGTATTTAACATTAGTCTACTTAGACTTTATCAGGCTCTGTCCCCCAGCTTCTTTTCCTTTTTTTCACTCTTTCTTTTTTTGTTTTATGTCTCTCTGGTAATTAGATTCCTTTCCAAATAATAAAAATATTTGTCATGATTGTCCATATCAATATTTTTATTTAGTTTTACATGATTTTAAAATACAATATTATAAAAAATCATAAATAAAAATATCTCTAGCGTTTTATGAATGAACACTATGTGTCTATACAGATAATCTGGAATTTTTTAATTACTTTAATTATTTCTGTACGCAGGCCCCAAGCTCTTCTGTCAGATAAGTATATCCTTTGCAAGTTCCCTCATATGCTCCCTCTGCTCTTCTTTCATCTCCATTTTTTGCTCCTTGCTCTGTCTTTCATTTTCCCTTCTAATGACTTCAAAAGGGGAGCTGCTGTTGTCAGCTGTTCTCTTTTTAATAGTAGTACAACTCGTGCTTCTACTGCTGCTTTTTTGAAGCTATGTTACCATCAAACATCTGAGGAATGAACTGTCAGCAGAAAATAGCTTGAGGCTTGTGCACTCACTAGGTACAAGAACTGCAGAATTAAAAGTGTTAATATTCCCAAAATTTTCATATTCTGTTAATATACACATGTTAACAATAGCTTCATAATTAAGGTTACAATAAGTTTTAGACATTCATAAAGCAAAAACCCTCTTTGTCAAAATAATTTTTTTAATAGGAAGAATATCACAGTGATCTGCTTCTTTCAGATGTATTTTACTAGAAAATAGTTACAGATTTTTATTATTTTTTTTTAAATTAGTCCACCTTCAGATTATATATTTTACAAACACACCTGTTATTACCAAGTGGTGATGAGGCTACATCTGTCTCTCTGGTAGATAACTAGTAAACATTTAATTACAGTGAGAAATCTCAGACAAGATGCTATTGATATACAAATTGATTTGAAACGGAAAGGATGCACGAGATTATTAAAGTCAGAATCATAAAACAAAAAATTAGTGAATGCTCTAAAATTTCAATGAATTGTTGAAATACATTTTAGCAGTTAGTGCAAATATATATATTCAAATACATATAAGAAAAACAAAATACATATATACAGAAACAGGCCAACCTACTTAACAGGCCAGCCAAGGGGCACAGTATGAGAATCAGCAAATGTGCTAGGCACGTCACTTTACTAAATCACACCATACTGTTGTTGAAAATTATTTTCCTCTATGATGCCTTTATTTAGCAAGGATTTTATCAATGTTTGGTTGAAAGTAATGAATAACAAGGACTAACTGTTATTTGTAGAGGCAGCCAAAAATAAATTTCCTGTTAGAAACATGGGGAAAGAGATAAGATACTATAGAATCATAGAATCTTGAATGAGATTTACAGAAAATTACTTTATATATCAGAGGCAAAGAAGCCAATGCAAGAGGAGTGGCTTTGCATATTATTTTTAGTAGATTATAAACCATCATCTGTTTTAATATAAAGAAAAATATACTTATAATGTTTTCATTATTTCAGTATGTATTTAAGAAACATATTAATGATAACAGTCAACAGACTAAAACTCTCTGGTCATTTTGCAGTTACCTTATGTTTAAATTGTTGGTAGAATGTGAGAAGATTTCTGTTTAAATATGTCAGAAGAAAATGTTTTAATATATTCACAACATTTGTGCCAATAAAGATTAGCCATCATTTGAGAACTATTTATTTGTTGAACACAGTATGCATTCATACACTCTTTATTCTATTCCTTAATGATTTTACTTGTTTGCATGATTTAATTTCATCAACATGTCAAAACAAATTGTGATATTTAACCACAAAGCACCATAAATTGTAAGTGATCATAAAAACATGATGAAGCTGTAAAGTTTTACTTCATCATTTTCGCTTTTAATAGAGTCGGCACAATGCTGCTCACAATCCCTTCAAGGACAGATTGTTTAACTTCTACTATATATGGTAGTCTATAACTTCTGACAATTGGATTTCAGATATCACAGCCCAGGTTTATAGCATTCCTTAAGGACAACATTTTCATAAGTTGTGCTCCTAAATTATTTCCTGTGTGCTCAGAAGTGCTACTCTCCAGACCTACCCATATTCTACTTTCCTTTCTGAAACTAAAGATGGGCACTACAGCCATTTCAGTTGTAGTCTATTGTCTCTTATTTCAGCTGGCATTCTCAAGCAGAATGTTTCACAATATCCCTCCTCCATGTCAAAATATGTTTTTACTTAATAAAGCATCACCCCATAGTTTAGTGGGAATTTAAATCTGGTTTTTAGATAGGCAATCATTTGAACCCAGTGACCACGTGCCTGTCATCACACTGAACTACGGAAATAGCCTTCCACCTTGCAGTTTACTGTGAAAGGATGATTGCTGAGATCTGGTTTCTTTGACATGATCCTCTCACATAAACTCTACTAAGGTCAATACATGTTACCCCTGATATTCAACAAGATTTTTTTTCTCAGATGGTTCCTGATCTGTCAGTTCCCAGAACCCAAATGTTTTGTTTAGGACTGGCACTTTTGCTTTGAAGGTAACTGCCCACCATATATGCTAGGTAGTAAGTATATGCTCTTTCACATTGTCTCCCAATGTTCACTATAGAAAGATTTAAAGGACTCTCCTTTCAAAGGATCTCATACCACCTAGCAAATAATATTAAGAACTCTATTAGTCACCTGTAATTGTGACTTAAAAGCACTCCCTGGATTTCAAGCAGTAACACTCACTGAGTTTTCGAGGAATAATGCTGCTTTTTGGGAATCTGTCTGAGATTTTTTAATTTACTGGCAATAATGAGGACCTTCTTCCAAGTTTTCACTAGTGGGCAATGTGAATGGACAGAGTGAGTCACTGGGAGAAGAGAAAAAAGCTGTTTATCTGTAACTTCACTTTTTCAAGACATGTTGATAGTATATACATTCACATTCCTCTCCCATTTTATTCTCTCTGACTTCAGTGTGGCTTAGAGATTTACTTACTGGTAGAAATTGGAAATGTCAGGAACAGCATGTGCAGGAAGGGGAGAAGATAAGGAAACAAATGATTCAATCAGTTATGTAAGGGTTAAAAAGTAGTGACTCTTTTAACAGCAATAGGGCAATATGTTTTGAAAGAGAATTATCGGACTATTGTAAAAGGAAATCATAAAAGCCAAAGGCATAAAATTCAGTCAAATTAAAATAGATTGGATTTAATTAGGTATTCAGAATACAAAATATGTCTAAGCATAAAAGACTTTCGGTACCTCATCAGGATTTGTAACAGACTGAAGAAATGCTATGTTGACTAGAAAGTTGCTCTTGAGGAGGGAGTTTATGTTGTGAACTGTTTCTACTACGAACTAGACAAAAGGAAATGATCAGGCAGTTGCAGATACTGTTGCCTCTATCTGCTAAAAGATTTTTGTTTTCTTTTGGTTTTCATTTTGTTTTGTTCCCCAAATTAAAGGTGATAATTTTCTCTTTACAAATTAGTAGGATTTCTAAGTCCCAAATCCACTTGCACTCTTTTTACCTTTCAGAATAAAAAGGTTAAGGGATGTTCTGAGTTGTGGCCCCCTTTAACAGCTCTAGGCCTGGCCTGCACAGCTGCTGAAAGTCAGCCCAGATCCCAGGCCTTCTGACCCACCATAGGGCCCTCCTACTCACATGGCTCAGGGACACATTCACTCAACACTCACACACCCATCCCCCAGGCACTCCACAGTCAGGGGTTCTCCAAATACCAGCATAAATCTCCCATATATCTGATACCCATGCCAGGACCTGGGGCCTCCTACCCACAGGTGGTAGTACATGAAACAAATATATGCAGTAAATTCAACTTCATGACCCAGCTATCGAGTCTTTAACTTCAGTTAAATATAGTAAAATACAGTGAAAAAAACAGATTAACATTTTAACAGTTTGTCTTAAAGAGGAGTAAAAATTATAAACAGGAAATGTGTCTTACCTTCTATGAGAAATAATTACAGTTAAATTCAAAGGACAAATTCATAAAAAATTACCCAATATAATTTGCTACTCTAGATTCCAGTTCTTTTTTCTATAGATGAACCATGCGCCATTGATCATTTAAATATAAATATTTTGCTGTCCTATTTACAGTTTATAATATACTATTTGGAGGAAGTGAACTTAGGCATCTTTTTATTCTTAGTTTGAACTGTGCAAATAACAGTGTGTGATATTTTGTAGGTAATTTTTCTTCTCACCAAGTCTGAAATGTATAATCGATTGGGAAAGGTGAATTTTTCATAATCTTAACAGCTCTTATAAGAAAGAGATGTTCTGTTATAATTTTTGTTTTCTATAATTCATTTTAAAAATCTGAATGAATAGGATTTAATTTTTTTATTGTTACCTCTGTCACCTTACTGATACTGCTGTATATAGAGAAAAGCTCATCTTCAATTAAAGATCTCTGTAAGAATTATGCAATTACATTGGTAGTAAGTAAATTTTTGTCTTTTGGTTATTTTCTTTTAACTGTTATCAATTGATACAGAGTTTGGAGTTTTACCTCACAGTCACTCAAGAAGAGTCCTGTATATGGATAAAAGAGTCCTCAATGTCACATAGGCATTATGGTTGGCGATGGTGTGCCAGTACTGTGAAATTGTTTTCTGAGGTCCTACGTTTTCAGAAGTGTGACTATCTCCATTTTTGTTTTCAAAGCTAGTGAAAGGAATTTTGGAGAACAGTTTCTTCACTTGTATCTTGTGGAAGGAAAACCAACCGTTCGATTCAGCTGTGGAAACTCTCAGAACATTCTGACTGTATCCATCAACCAGTCTATTAGCAAGGGTATACTTGTCCCTATCACAGTAAGGTAAGAATTTACCATGGGGTTACACTAAAAGAGTTTTAGTCATATATATTGAGCAGTAAAGTGTGATTCCACATTTTTTTTTCCCCACAATAAAGACAAGTCATATTGGAAAGCAAAATTATATGCATATTTGGAAATTTTTTTCATAAGATAATCTCCTTGATTGAAAATACGTTTTAGTTCACACTAAAATTTAAGACTATTGCAGTCCTTTGGAGAACTTACAAATCTTTCAATCTCCAAATACTTTTACGGATACAGATGTTGTTTTGAGAACTGAAACAATTTAAATATAACATTGGAGGTTACAGATGGGGAGTTCATAATTTCTGCTTATTCATTTATACATTGAATAAATTAAATTTGTTGTCAGACTTCCGGTGCTAAATATAGGACCGATTTATTCTTTAAGATGAAAAATTAAAAATGGACATACTAACAACATCTCACAATGCCAGGTGGACTTGGTGATTTTCAAAGTCTTTTCCAAACTACATTATGATTCTATAAGCTGTCGTATCTACATATGCAACTGTACTGTCAGCGTTATACAGTGGTGGCTGAGCAGTACTGTCATTTTACACCTAGTACACACAATAGTTTTCAGAATGGTTAATGTACCATTTTGAAAAAGGTATTAGTATCATGCCTTGGTAATGGATTAACTCTTTTCTACCCATGGAATTTCATATGTGCAAGATAGGTAAAAGGTAAACAAGAAATAATATAAATGTTGTGTTATATTTTTATTAGTAATGTTAAAGACTGGTAAAGTACTCAGTCTTCAAAATCATTTTAGAAATAATTCTGACACCCATATAATATTTCAAATTACTGTGATTAGGATAATATTTTATTTCTTACATAGTATCAGAGTATTTCTTACAAGTATCAGAGATAATTGGTGCACCTAAACTGGAAATATTTGTGAGTTGAGGGAACTTACTGCACAAATTATTAAATTAAAGGTAGTTCTAGCTAGGACTATTTTTGCTGTTAGAGGATGGTATGTGAAGGAGACTGCAAAATTTGCCTACAAACATGCACATCAGACTTCTCAAAATTGCCTCTTACTATGAAAACAGGAAAATAAAAGCATAATCTTAAGATTTTTTGTGTTTGCATTTTGAACTGTTTCTCTGTGATGTAAATGTTGATAAATTCTAAAATGATGGAGGTTTATTGATCTCAGTATATAGAGTAGATTGACACGGGGAAAAGAGGCTGTTTGGGGTGGGCGGTGTTCATTAGATTGTATGCTTACCCCGTAAGCTTTACAACTTCTTTTAGAAAAAAATTTGTGTTAAAATATAAATCCTCTTTTCAATATAAGCAAGGATCTGCCATTTAGGAAACTGTTTTATTTCCATCTTATATTTCTTCTCAGCCACAGGTCTATACATTACTCTTATGCTCCATTTAGAACAGTATTTTTTTTTCCTTTTATGCTGTCTTAGTGTTAATATCTAATATTAATGAAGCAAAGTCACATAGCATACTTTCAAATTGAATTACTTATTAGATGACAATGTATTTATTTTAGGATTTTTGTACAGTTTGTAAAAGTATATAAAATTTACAAAGGAAATTCTATCCCTTTCTCTCCTTATGATCTGGCAGATATAGAGGTTTTTTCCCTGGGAAAGTACTTGATAGAGGTATACAGTTCGACACTAGTAAACTATTCTAAGGGATTTTTTAATCTCAGAGACTACTCTTGTGTGAGACATTGGTCAGGTGATTGTCTGCACTGTATCAGCTGTGGTAGCATTGCCCCTGCTTCATAAGATTAAGACATTAAAATGCTGTGCAGATTTCAAAGCCTAATAATATCTTAGCAAAAAAATGCAGCTAAATGGCAATGAAAAGATTGATTCTAGTCATAGAGTTGACTAGAGTCATAGAGTTTTTCAGTTTTTCACACTGAAAAATAAATTTACTTCCATCTTTTTCTACCTGAAAATTAACACCTGTGTATTTATGGCTTCATTCTCCATGTTGTTACACTAAAAAATAATGTCAGTTCAATTTACACATTACCTTTGTTTATTGCTATTTTATACTGCTATCTTTGAAACAGTGGCATACTAAATAACTTGTAAGGTATGATTGTAGACTATGACTGGCAGGGATTTACATGCATTTGAGTTTATGGTCTTGGCCTTCGAAATGACTAGTGATTATTCTTGCAAGTTCTTCTAAAATTTAAAGAAAGCAGTATATCCTTCACCAAGCCGCAATAAAATTATGATCCTTCAGCAAGCAACCCTAACCTCTACCAAAGGAAACAGCAAACTTAAGAAGGCATTTGTGGCCCTCCAAGATCTTGTATTGTAGGCAATAAAATATGAATCCATGAAAAAACCATTGATTTGTGTTCTCAGTAGCTGTTGGAGATAGATAATTCTATTTGTATATTTTACCTGAATAATTAATGTGTGGGTTTTTTTCCCTGTAATGCAGAAAAAGAGACAAAGACTAGAATAAATATCTATTTTTGTTACTGTTTGGAAACTATCCAGTTGGCAGACAATAGTTCTGTTACACTTGACTAAGTCTTTAGAATCATATTTGACAGTTATTCCAGTTCTGGATGCAACTATAACTCCACTGGTTAAATGCCACAATTAATATATTCAATAGCGTCCATAGAAGCAGATTGTCACCTTTTCAGACTTTTTTCCTTCTAAATCCACCATGTGCAAGAAACTAATACATTCCCATAGTTTACAGCTAGCTATTCCTTTTTCATAACGATATGATTGGTTTCCTTATGTATGGCCATTTTTTTCAAACCTGATGAAGATTAAATGAGTTATAAATGTTCAGTCATTGTCTTTATGGTCCTTGTGAAATGACAGCTTTACAGAAAAAGTCAGTAAAACTCAAATTGCCTACTTTTTTTTACCTTGCCTAAGGAAACTAGAAAGGTATTTAAATGCAGTTTCATTCATTGTTTTCGTTTCCGTTTATTTTAGAATGATTTGATTACTGGTTTGAAAATGTGTATTTCTTCCAGTTTAATTTTCTGTGATTTCATAGTTGAGATTGTATTGATCTTTTCAGTTAAAGCTTTGAGAACATGCTTGAAATGTAGTTTGGATTAGTTTTATGGGTTTGTTCTTGAAAGTTATTCAAAGAACATTAGCTCGAATGGGTTTCATTCCATGTTTGGGCTCTAAACTGCATTTGGCTGATGCAAAATTTGCTCTACTTTGTGGTTAAAGTGATGTGACTGTCATGGGAGCAGATGATGTTTCTTCAATTCAGTGACTGACGGTAAGTAAATTTAACAAGCAAAAATTGAGATAATAAGTCACAAGGATTTTGATTTTTTTTGATAGTGGGGTGAATTTTAGCTTTTAGAGTAGAAATATTGATATTTTATAGACATCTTACACTTTTCTTCTCTAAATGATATATTTTTTAATTATATTTCTTTAAGAAGTTTAGATTGTCTTTTCTACACAGTAATGGAAAACACTGGATCCTTTTCTGTTTGGGAGATTCTAGGAAAGCATTAATTAAAATCTTGCCTGTCTATGATAGCATCACTCTTTTCTATCTTATTTACCTGCAGAATTTTCAGAATTGTTCTCTGGAATTTAATGAATAAAGCGTCCATCCCCACAGAGCTAGATCATAGTATTATGTACATTAACATTTCATGTGTCTTCCAAGTGAGCATATTGAATGTAGTTGTTTCCAGTTTTCTGTCACACTTTAACTAGTAGAATAGATGTGAGTATTTACCAATGGCTGAGAAGGGCACCTTTAGCTGTCTTTAAAGAGTTTGTTTGTTAAATACATTATTTAGTTAATGTTGTTTGGCCAGCTCTCGCCTAGACCATGCAGCGGTACAGAAGCTGCTGAAGTTTATTATTTGGTCTTCCACCTTCAAAAGCAGATGGCACATTGTGAACTGTGAAAGTCCTCAACATGTTTTTGTCCCTCCACATGGGAACTTTGGCAAGATGTAGTGTACTAATTGCAAACTACATGATTATATTATCAGCGTTCATGATTTTACCTCCACTCCTACTTCCTCCTTTTCCACAGAAGAGGAAAACAGCTGCTTGAACTATTCTACAAAGTTTTTTAACACATGTGCATTCTTAAAATGTTTTTTAAATGAATGTGTAAATTACCATCCATACAATCTGTTGGTTTATTTTGAATCATGATGTTTACCTATTTCATTTCATTATTCTAGAGATATGTAAGTTTTCATATTAGTGTATACTTTGAAGTCATCTTTTTACTAGTGTTACAGGTGCTGGGTGCTCTGCATAGTCTGCAAGTATTACTGAAGATTGCATTAAATCAGTAAACCAAAAAAATTACTAATTTTCTGGTGTCTTGCTATTGTTTCCAATATTACCAGTTACCTAGGAATACAGGGATTTTTTTGATGATTTGGAAACATCTGAGCACCAGGTTTTGTATCTGAGCAGCTACACTGTGTATCCTAGGCTTCATACTTGCAATACTGACTTCCAACATAACCAGTTATGTGATGAATGATAAATGGAAAGGTGTTTTGGCAGATAACTTGAGCCATCTTGGTGCAATGTCACCAACACATATCACATCTCACCTTTTTAAAATTGTTTGAAGATTAACAGTGAAAGCAATCTCAGAGACATTGAAGAATTGCTATTCTATAATATGAATATATAAATTGTTAAAGAAAACACATTTAGATGCTGTTTTAAAAATAAATATTTTATGTAGTCTATACTTAATTTTTAAGTCAGCATATACATGAATCATACCCATGTAGATTGTGTTGTATAGAACTGGAAATACTGTAAGACATTAAGTATTTTTGAATGAATGTTGTAATTACTTTTAGAAGGACTGTATATACAATTATACACATTTATGTTTACTGCCTTTTCTATAGAAATTGAAAATTTTGTAAAATTATCATCACATTTGCCACTATAAGGTGGGAAATTTTTTACAGTGTATACCTACATAATGTTTGTTCTCTGTAA